TACACCTCCCTCCCCAGAAGGAGTTTTAGCAACAACTATCCCCAAATATCTCCTATGCTCCACTTATTCATCCCTCCCCAGTACCTGAGCCTTGGTACTCTCTGATCTTCTAGTTGCCATAGCTTTGTTTTTTCCAGAATACTATACAGTTGGAATCATGCAGTGAGTAGCCTTTTGGGATTGGCTTCTTTTACACAGTGATACAAATTTAAGTTTCCTTCATATCCCTTTTTTCTTACAATATATACTTTTATTGAATTTTTGTGCATTTCATATAATACATCTTAATCATATTTAGATCTCCTCCCCTATCTCCACCTGCTCCCTAGCCCCCCACCGGATTTCATGCAAATTGTCATATATGTTAAAGCTGATCCCCACCAGATTTCATATATGTTAAGGCCTATCAAGTCAGGTTTTTATCTGTTTTTACCTGCTGGAGCCTGGTCAGCCGATCTACTGTCAACTCCTTAAAGAAGACCAACTTTCCCTCATCCAGCAGTGATCAGCTGCCAGTAGTTCCACAGCTAAGGTCATGGGTTCTTACCATCTTCTCCACGTCCACGATGGATTTTCATCTGGTTTGAGTTTGCATGAGTCATGTGCATGCTGTCGCCATTGCTGTAAGTTCGTATGAGCAAGTTCCCAGCCCCCTGGAAAACTCTGTTTCCTATGGTCATCCACCACCCCTGGCTTTTATAGTTTTTCTACCCCCTGTTCCACAGTGGTCCTGAGCCCTAGGTGGTAGAGAACTTATTTTCTGTTAGTGCTGAAAATAATGTTCCAGTGTATGGCTGTCCCATAATTCCATCTACTGAGGAGTGTTTGGTTGTATCTGAGTTATAGAAATGCTGAGCATAGCTTCTGTAGACATCTGTGCAAATAGAATGATTTAAAATATTTTGTATGAGAACATAGATATCAAACATCAAGGATTTGATTTAGGCCTGAAGTTGTAAGATTCTGATGAGCAAAAACAGTTGAGTAGGAGTTTTTGGAAGAGAGAACAGAATAAACAAGCATCTTTGAATGCTTACCGAGTATCAGGAAAACTACTAGGTGATTTATATTATTCTACTTAAATGTCACTGTTATCTCTTGGGACAGTCCATGCACAGGATTATGTTTATATTCACTTGTATGAAAGCTGATGCCAAGCAACAGTTTACATCTTCTCTAAATTCTCAAAGCTAGAGAATTCACAAGCTGTACTGAATCTTACTATACAGTCTCTGTTGTTTGTCCTGTCCTGTCATGTTCTCTAGGGAAGAAGATTAGAGCAAAGAGTTGACTTAATAATAGGATACAAAAAGGATATGTGTGAAGCTTGACAAAGAGGTTGCAGCCAGGCCAAGTACAGTGTTGGCCTGGGCAGTGTGGAGGTGTCTCTGGGCAGAGTAAAAAGGTTTTGGAGTAAGAAAGACCATCTTTTTCTATATCACAAGATTACCTGAATTGACTACACTGATGCTTCTATGAAGCTTCTGAGGGTATGCAAATTTCCATTCCAGGTGACCTTTGGGAAAAGGAACAGGATGTTTGAGTTTGAAGTTTGAGTAGATCAACCCAAGGAAGGAAGTTATATGTGCTTTCCTGATTGCCTCTTAATAGCTCAGTCTCAAAAGATGTCCTTTTGGTCACTGCTATCCCTATAACATGAGGGCAGCAAAAAGATACTAATTTACACACACACATTCATAAAGTATATATGGATATTAACTCTAAGTCAAGCAAATTAATTATCTACATAGGTCAAAGTTAAAAATACCGTCACAAAACAATTTTTTAAAAAGAGCTAGGGATGTGGCACAGTTGGAGTTTGTTAAGCACTTTCTTAGACTATGTAAAGTCTTGGATTCAATCCCTGGTACCACAAAAGAAAAAAGGAAAGAACAGAAAGAAATCAAGTCACAAGAACTTTGAGATCAGAGAACTTGAGTAAATTTGTGAATGAGGAAGCTTCAAGTGTTCTTTCACACTTGACTTAGAGTTGCCACTTTAAAATCTGTGTCATGGAAAGTTGGTGATGAAAGGGACGCCTCCAGTGTTCTAATGATTTTTAAAGATGACAAACTAACACCTAGGGAGAGTGTGACATTTAATCCAAGATAACCTAGTAGCTGTGCTGAGCCTTGCTGAGCCTTGTGCTATCCCATAGACCACTTCTCACAATGCATGCCCCCCGCCCCAGTCAATGCGGGTGATGGGTCTTTTGAGAGGGAGGTCTTCCAGAGCACTGCCTGAAGCTCAAAGAACATTAATGCAGCTGCTAAAAACGGCATACAAAGGGAGGGAGCCAAGACTCACATTTCTGCACAAGCCAACACCTCCCTCCACATGCTCAACTCATTAAGCTGCTGTGTTGTGTTCCTTGGCCAAGCAACTGGCAGGGCTCAGGAGAGCCCTCCTTCCTTCCGACACAGCCTGTTTTATTTAGCTCAGTAAGGCCTAGGATCATATTTACAAGAGAAATAAGGGATTCCTCATCTGTGTGGGAGTCCCCAGTGGAATCCTCTTGCCTGAGGTCTGCCAGGAGAGTCAAGAGAGTAGGAAGCAGGGATTCCATTGCCCAGGGCATGAAAACAAAGTTCTCCCCATACCTTACATCAGAACATTCTGTCAAAAATAACCTTGCGGGGGTGGGGGGGGGGGGGGGAGAAGCTGCAGTTCTTGGCAGGCACAGTATTTTTTTTTTAAAGGAAAGTAGAAAGGGTCCCTGTACTTCTGACCTTACACTTCTAATTCATTTCTCCAGAAGCAACGGCTGTAACCAGACTCTGTGCATTCTTTTAGATATACACAATACTCACAGAAATATTTGTTTTTAACCCACAGAAGTATGCTTTACATTGATTGTGCCCTTTGTTATGTTCACATAGTAGATCTTTGACTTTGTTCCATTTTGAACTTGTCTTTTTAGCTACCAAATTGCTCTGCTATTTTTTTTTTCTACTAAGTGTCTTCTCTTTACTGTCTAACTTCTTGCTGTTGCATACCGACTTGGTTCATGTTAGATTTTTCAAGCTATTGAAGAAAGGGAAAGATCCAGGATTGGAGAGATGGCTCAGTGGTTAAGAACACTGGCTGCTCTTGCAGAGGTCCTGGGTTCGAGTCCCAGCACCCACATGGTGGCTAACAACCATCTGTAACCCAATTCCAGGGCATGTGACACCCTCTTCTGACCTCCTTGGGCACTGCATGACACAGGTGCATTTATACACATGCAGGCAATACACTCATACACATAAAAGAAAAATAATAAATTGTTTAAAAAAATTTTTAAAGAAAAGAGAAAGATCCAATGCTTAAAAACAACTAATTTGGGCTGGTGGGATGGCTCAGTTGGTAAAAGCACTTGTTTTCAAGCCTGATAACCTGAGTTTGATCCTTTGAAGAAGGAGAGAATCAATTCTACAAAGTTGTCTTCTGACATCTGTTGGGAAAAAAAAATGAAATACCTTGATGAATGCTGTAAGAACTCTGCATTTTGATAGAAAACTCTGTTTAAAATGTTGATTTAGATTTACTTGCTAAGCTTGCCTGTTCCGCCTGATTTGTATCTACCACACATGGATGATTAACCTAGTTGAAATGCTAAGAATTGAAGTGCTGTAAACCTCCTTCCTGGACCCTGGACCCCAGACTCAGTTGATTTACAATGTGTCCTGTAGGCCTGTTTGCACATACCAGATAACCGATAAGGAACAAAGAGAAGGAAGTTGCACCAGGCTTACACCAGATCTAGCCTTCCTGGAAAAGATGTTTAACCGAAACTACAGCTTTTAGAAGATGTTTGATCAAAGTGTATGCTGAGGAATGCTTTTTGTGTAATGACTATGTGAGCCTATATAATCTGTACCTAAAACTGAATGGGGGTCGATCGTTCTGACCAGACTTGCATGACTTGGGAAGCCGGTCGACCCCAGCTAGCTGGAAAGTAAAGACTCTGCTTGATTTTTACATCTCCAATCCCGTGTATTTGTTATCTGGAGGGGACCCATCGAGTCACGGACCCTAACAACATCCACATGTGTGCTATGATGTGTGTGTGTATATACATACACAATAGATAAAACTAACTTAAAAAACTCATTCAATTTTATGTCTTACAGGGCTTATACTGAGTTGAATATTGTATAACTGTATTAATTCAACAGTGAACCTAAAAATTTTATATCCAGTTTTGAAAGAGATGTATCTTTGCTCTGGAAACTGTTATTGAGTATGTTAAAACTGTGATTAAATGCTTCTTCTAAAAAAAATTTTTAAAAATTAAAAAAAAAACATTCAAAAAAGGCCAGAGACATGGCTCAGTGAGTAAGGGCATTTGCCACTAAGCCTGAGGACTTGAGATTGATCACCAGAACCCACATGATGGAAAGAAACAGACTCTTTCAGACCTCCACATGCACACTGTGGCATGCATTTGTATTTGTGTACACATACAGAAACACACACAGAAAAAAAATAACTCGGGGAAAAAATCCCAGCTACTTTAAAATGCATTGCACTCTGAAGGATTAGAACAAATTGTGTTGTCCCTTGAAAGTAGAATGCTTTAATTCCTGAAGTGTAGAAGAAGTGCGTACATACAAGACGCTTCCTGAACAGGTTTCTAGTGTGTTCTGGGGGTCTTTGGAGGTCTTTGAACATGATGTGTTGAGTCTGAGATAATATTTAACAATGAGTTTTTAAATAAGAGGTATATTAAGTATGCTGCTATTTAAATGGGAAATTGGGACTCAATGAGCCAAGGCAATATACCAAAGAAAAGCTTGGTAGAAATGAAGACAGATATCAGATGCTTACATGAAAGAACAGAAGAATCCTACCTTACCTGAAGAAATGGTATAGTAACAGAAAAACAGGAGGGCAGGCAGCAAGTCTAGGTCTAACCCTCACAGAAAAAGCCAAGTCTTTTGCCAAATATTTCTCTTGGGCTACTATCTCTCTGTCTCATCTTTTTTTTTCCTAAACATATCTCTTTTTCTCTTCCTTAGGTGAAGTATCCCCCAGTTCAAAGTATAAAAGTACAACTTACCAGTAAGTATTATTAAAAGTTTAATTGATCCTTATTTCTTTAATTTATGTTTGTTTGTGTACGAGTATGTATGTGTATGTGTTTGTGTGTGCATACAGGTGCACTTACATGTGTTTGTGTGTGTGTGTCTGTGTGTGTGTGTGTGTGTGTGTAGAGGCCAGAGGTTGATGTTAGGTGTCTTCCTCAGTTGCTTCCCACCTTGCATTTTGAGACAAGGTCTCTCACTGAACCTGGAGCTCACCGATTCAGCCAGACTGACTGCCTATCAAACTCCAGGGATGTACCTGGCTCTGCCTCCCAGAGCTGGGATTACAGATGTGTGTTGCTGTGCCTGGCTCTCTCTCTCTCTCTCTCTCTCTCTCTCTCTCTCTCTCTCTCTCCCTCCCTCCCCCTCCCTCCCTCCTTCTCTCTGTGTATGTCAGGGTGCTGGGAATCTGAACTCAGGTCCTCATCTTGTGCAGCAAACACTTTACTGACTGGGCCATTTCCATAGCCCCAAGTCATATTTTTAAAAGACTATTCTGTAGTTTGCTAATTTCTTCTAGGATCTGTCCTTTCCCTTAGAGAAGTACTGCATCCCAAAATTGTTGGAGTGTGAATAGTATTTTCATTAGGGTCAAAAACAAAGTGGATAAATAAAGTGAAGGAAGGATTAGCTATCAAAGAAGTGCTGGCTCTATACTTACCAGGCCTCTCAATCCTCCCAGAAACGTTTCCAGTAGGCATTCTCATTTTTAAATCTAAGAATACTAAGGCTTTGCTTTTTCAAAATCTGACTGTAAGACACATCACCTGGTCATTCCATTCTAAGACATTATTATACCCTAGAGCTGGGAGAGATTCTAGATGAAGAAAAAGTGATATTTGACAACCAAGAGAGTCTTTTGGGTCCCTGTTCACAGCCAACCACCAGTAGTTTCTTTATGAAGGGAAGTACTTTTTGCCCTCAATAAACCATTTTTATTTTAATTTGAAAGTATAGCTCTCCTGTACATGGGACAAAGCAAAACTTGCTGAATTAGGGGCAGCCCTGGGGGCCTGTTATTTTTCATATAACCAAAGGGCATGAGTCAGAGTAGGTATCTAAGATGTAGTTGTTTAGCTATTCAAGATGATATTCAGATTCAGGCTGATATAGAAATATAGGAAACTTGAGCTTTCAGACTTGCATTCGGATGACCCTGCACGAAGCTATCAAAGCTGCGATGGGCCTCGTCTTTTATCTCCTCCTCTTCATCTCCTTCCTCTTCTTTTTCTTTCTCTTGTGGCAGTGACTCTTCCCAAGTCACTTACAGGAAAGTTTAGTTATCAAAGGTAGGAAGAAGCAGCTGAGTCCCGGAGCTCTCTTTTCCTGATTCATGGTACTGAGCCCACTTTGATCTTACAGATATCCTGTGCTTGGCTGCATGACTAAGCTTACAGAAATGCTGGCAAAGACCACCAGCACTATTTTCAGTAAGCCTGATACCCAAGGGCATATGGAAAATATGTATTTCTTGGTCAGGCGGAAAGGTGTAGAAAATGGTTGGGAGTGATGGCTTTTGAGTCAAGTGAATAAAAGAAGTGCAGGACCACACCAGGCTGGCCCTGCTGTCCCTCTGCCACCCTTTGCTGCAATGCATCTACTCAACAGGAAAGTAGGCACCGAGGATGCCATCCTGTCTTGTTTCTGAAAAATTAAAAATTAAGGAAAATCAGAACCTACCTTTCCTGCCATAAGTCTGATGTGACAGTGGCTGTAACCTCTCATCTCTGAATTCCAACCCTATCTGGTACTCTCTAGAACACTGGTGATGGCTTACCTTTCCCTCTATTCCACTGGTACAGCAGGTTCCACATCACAGATCCAATATAGTGCCCCTTTGTTTACACCCTTTTCAAAATCTCTCTCTGTATTATTTTCTCTTCACTTGATTCTAGATGTAGTGGAAGGTTGTTGTAACCTACTGTGTTTAAGATTAATTTTGTTTTCAATTCTTACTTCACCATTTTTAGGATGTGAGCAGGACAGATTGTTCTTCAGCCTACCCAAGGATGAGTATCAAACCATGCAGGTGCAGAACAACTCAATCATCATTACCTGTGATGGCCTTTATCTCATCTACCTGAAGAGTTCTTTTTTCCAGAAGGTTGGGATCAACCTTCATTTCCGGAAGGATCAGAATTCTGTCCTCATCCCCACAATGAACAAAGGCCAAAGGGTTGGCTTTGCTATGGTGGCCTCTTTGCACTTCAAAGACATAGTCTACTTGAACGTGAAGGCTTCTAATACTTCTTGTGAAAACCTACAGATAAATGGTGGGGAACTGATTCTCATCCAGCTAAAGCCTGGTAGATACTGTGCTCAGTGAAGATCTTATATGGCAGCATCTCAAACTTGGTGCCATCATGAATGCTATGCTGGGGGTGGGCAGGACATGGGTTCTTCTTTGGGAGAGAAGAGCCCATCCAGCTCAGCCCCATGAGATGGGACCAAATGCAGATCCTACCCACCTCCTCACTCAGGGATATTTAAAATGTGTTTTACATGTCGGTTGACCTTATTTATCCTTTTATCTTCTAATGTACCTAATTCTAACACCCCATAATTACCTTGAGTCCAATAGGAACCCTTCTGAGAACGGAAAAAATAAGTCTCTTCAAGACATATTGTTTTTGTTGGTCAGACAATAATTTTAAGTTTATGTCACTGAAAAGGCAAGTGATTACCATTTTCTAGAAATTGACTCGTGTGTGGCATTTTCCAAGGAAATAGCAGGGAATGGGATTATGAATCTGCAAAGGGTGACATCTTCCAAACCTCAGGAGTTGAAATGAACTTTCCAAGGTTACCTTGCAATGTTTGCATGTTACCTGAATACCTCTCTCATTTGGTGGGTGTTTGAAAGGACAGTCACCCTGTGAAACTCAGGATTTGACGATAGCTCTCTAAAAAATACTATGTATGTTGTTTTGTTTCTCTTTGCCAATTTTCTTTCCAGGCTTCCAAACATACTTAATAGAACATTCCCTGAAGAGAGCTATCCCAATACTGCCAAAAATATAATCAGTAATTTAAGAAAAGCCAATAGAGATATTTTTATACAGGGCGTGTCAGATAATTTATTGTGAGGGTTATTTTTTTTTATTATACATGATAATAGTGAGTAAAAGTCAATATTAATTTAATAATCTGGGCAAGGAAATCTGTTCTTAGCTTCAGAGAAGAAAGAAGCACATGCCTGACCTCCCGCCAATGCAGAGTCACACTCAGAACTGGGCCTTGTCTACAGTGCTGGTTCCAAAGAGAAGCAGTGCAAACTTGTGTCAGACAGCACTTTGAAGCTATTTTACCTTATGAAAATCAGTGATCTCTGTCTAGAAATACCCTGATACCACATGTGGTCTCATAGTGATTGAAACTAGAAGGACTAATAATCAGCCAATACCAAGGCTTCAAATTAACAGGATCCCTTGATATTGAGTTTAAATGTCTCACCCCAAACTTAGTAACATATCAGGCATATGACATTATAGCAATTTTTATGTCAAATATCTAGATGGTTTATAAATTCTTTGTTCCAAAAATTTCTACAAATACAAGTTTTTGATAACTTTTTAATTGAAGCATTTTCTGCCTATTTTAAATAGAGGATGCATCATATCACAAAATCTTTCTGGATGATTCTGTGTTGCCATAGGGATTGCATTGTGCTACTATATAGCACTTATCTCTAGGACCTCTAGGAAACTAGAAAGCTGTTCATCCTTATACGGAGTGAGCTCAGTTACATTTGGGTTTTAATGTTTTTTTTCTTTTGGTCTTTTTGAGACAGGGTCTCCCTGTAGCCCCAGGTCTAAGGACCTGGAACTCACTATGTAGACCAGTCTGGCCTTGAACTCACAGAGATCCGCCTGCCTCTGCCTCCTGAGTGCTGATATTAAAGGCGTGCGCCACCACGCCCGGCTTGGGTTTTAATTCTATTTTAGTTTTTGATCTGTTTGATAGCTTTATATTTTCTCTTAAGCATTTATCTACAACTATATTCTTACTCTATTTCAATCTGTTATGAAAAGACGCTAAATAAAAATGCTACATAAAAGAACTTGTGCATAAGGTAATAGTATCAAGTTCTGAATGACTGCCACAGTCACACTCACAGTTAACAGGTGAACATTGATGGAAAGCCTGTGTGGGCCACACATTGGGCTAAATGTGTTACATGAATTATTCTGGGAAAGGCAGAAGATATATGTGTGTATCTCATTTACTTTTTGTTATTAACTATGTTTTACAAAGCTATAGTTACTTAACGAATGACAGATGAAAAAACACGTATTAAGAAAATGTTTACTTTTAAAATCTGGAATTTATTTCTGTGTTTCTCATGGATGTGTAGTACATAGGCTTGGCCTAAGCATCACTGTTATGTGGGGTAATCATCTTCCATGCTACGGTCCCTGCTCTGGATCTTCACTTCTTTGGAAGAAGTTTTCATGCTGTTTTCATGCTGGCCTCTGTTAGCCACTCAAGGACATTGCTGCTGTGTGCCAACCTCTCTCCCATCTGCTGCCTAGCAAAATATATGTGGTTTATACTTCAGCTCCCTTCAGACATTGTCTCCAAAGGGATAATTAGCCCTGTACTCTATATAAGAAGGGATTTATGGAGAGAGAACAGAGTGAGAAATCTGGAGCAAGGAATTCTAAATTTGACTTGGCCACTGTAAGGAACGTTTTTAATGGCACCTTGCCACAAATTCGAATCACCTGAGCTTCAGCTGAAGAACTGTCCTGATCGCTTTGATAGGGGAAGACCCATCCCAAACATAGGCAGCACCCTCTGGTAGCAGCCCAGATATAAAGGAGCAAGACAGAAGGAAGATCGCACCTCTTGCTTGTCTGGCCTTCCAGCCTGCTGCGGAGTTGATTTGTCCTGTTGCTGCTGTTACTGACTCCTTTGCTGACATCAATGTTTCCGGACTTCTATTGTTGACTGAAGACCAGCTGCTTTTCTGGAACGCTCTGGGTTTTCGGCTCCCTGTTGGAACTGCTGAGGCACCCAGTCCTGTGGCCTGAGCAACTACGGAGGTCTCAGCCTCTCCAGTGTAGACAGCCACTTGTGGGACTCCTCCCACTGCTGAGGCACCAACCCAGCCTTAAGGACCGAGAAACTACCAGGTTCTCAGCCTCTCAGGCATGATTCAGTTGTTGCTACAATTTCAAATAAAGCTGATAAATAAAAAATTTAAATATATTTATATGTTCTGTGAGTTCTGGGTCTCTGGAGAACCCTGACTAGTACACTCACTAATCAAGTGACCTTGGGCCAATGAGTCCCAATTTCTGCATTCTGCTCTTCTCTTGCAAAATGACAAAAATAATAAATGTCTAACAGTTTAGAATCTTATGTTCATAATGTTAGCTGAGAATACACAAGTTAAATGTCTAAGTGCGAGTGGCTTTCTCTTTTCCTATATGGAAGGTTTTGTAACCACCCCAGGTAAACTACTGATCTCCCTTTAGCTTTCTTGGGACTTCCTTCAAGAGCAGTTACCCAATGTTATTTACTGACTTTCAGTTTACAGAATGCTTTAGGGATTCCCATCTTGATATCAATCATAATTTGTCCTTAAAGCATGTTGGGTGGGTTTCCATTTTAAGCCATAATTTTGTATATAGTGCTTTCCTGGCCCTCTGAGAGTATAAATATTAATGTTAATATTATAGCTAATAATAATATTGGGATTTACATGGACCCAAATAAAAGACCTCAAAATTCACTGCTGATTAGTGTCAGAGTTTTTAACTTACGTTTCTTTTCAAAATGTTCTGATTACCTAATCCCTTTCAAACTTCCTGGTTTCCTACCTGCCTCCAATTTTAGCTATCAGAGCTATCTGTGTTCAAAGGATGGCAGACCAGGCAAAGTTCATCTTTGCTTTAGAAAAGATATGGGAAGTCCTCAGATGTCCCTCTTCACAGTTTAAGGATCGAGATACAAGAATTTTTTCATTATTGTTCTTTTTTCACATGGGACCTTTTGTCTTATTTCTAGCCCTGGGATGATCTCTGAGCATTCTGTCCCCTTTGTCTGGCGGTAATGACATTTGCTGTCTTGTCTCACACTTACCTTGGTGTTACCTTGATGGTGTTGATGACTATCCTCCCAGATGCATTCCCCATCCTTGACTTCTTGGGCCTCTTGTTAATGTTCCTGCCTTCCTTGGTGCTCACACTTTTTCTCTGCCCACCGCTCTACTTCTGGTATGCCTGGGGGCTCTGGAACCATCTTCTTTCTCTGTGTCCTAGGCTGTACTTGGGAAGTCAACAAACCACAATCTGGCCTATGAGTGTGTTCCATTTCTTTACCAAATTGAATTTAGTTTCCAACATTTAAGCACTGAGCAATTTCTGGTTGCTTCAGAGAATCAAAACAACATAATAAAAAGACCTCAGTTTGGCAGGGTAGCAACCATCTCTAGTACGGGAGCAGTTTCTTCTGGAATCTTCTTCATTCTCAGCTTTCCCAGAGTCCCAACATCCACACAATGTACAAATGCACTTACTCCAGCTCACTTGCTGCCTGGCTTTGAAGCATTTGAGTTGTCAGTTGTCATACCTGGTTATCTACTTGCCAAAGTCACCACTTATGTACTAAGAATGTCTAAAGTCAGTTTCTAGTCCAGATACTTTCTATTCTAATATCATTTATTGTTCTCATTTGTATTATTAGTAAAGGAAATTTATCATGTGTTAATATTCAGCCTATTCTAGGCATTTTATTAGCCATTTTATGAGAATTGCTTGATGCTGTCTTTCCAATAAGTGCTTAGGAGTTATTATGCTTTCTATTTTAAATACAAGTGCTTGAGATTCTCAGAGTTAAACTTGCCCAAAGTCATGCAGCTACTAAATGATGGGACTCAAATTCAAGAATAAAGACTATTGACACCAATGACTATGTTCTTAACTACTGTACCTCTGCCCTTGAGCATCTCTGTGTCATGCAATAGGTACTTCTCCTCAGCATGCTCACAGTAAAATAGTCTGTGTTAGCCAAGCTCTTCCTTTTGATTCATGATGTTGGCTAGAGGCATCAAATCATTCTTGAATCCAGAAGCCCCAGTATTGGCAACCCTCCCTCCTTTACTCTGTCTCCATTCAATAGCCTGTGGCCTATGGCTTCACTGAGTCTCCTCATTAATCCTCCTTTATACTATTGTTGTAAGCTCCCACAAGACCTACTTGCCTCACTGAGTTCTGGTTTGCTACATATTTGTTCAATGAACCATCAAAATGAGTAAACAAAACAAGGCAGGGTAGGGAGAAAGCATGTACCCAGGTGCCTCTATTTACTACCTGGGTGGCC